AGAACCTCGACCGCCTGAAGTACCATGAGAGACCTGGAGAGCGGACTAAAAGGGCCTAGGAGGATGTCCTCTACCATAAGAATCTCTACCTCCAGATGAGGTACCACTGAATCTGCCTGAATGACGGGGCCTGTTATCCGACCCATGACCACCTCCCTGTGACAGAACCATCTCAACTCTGCGGGCCACACTGGCCGCCTCCTGAAAAGTGATCTTGCTCCCGGCCTCCTTGGCCATCTGAAGACGAATCGGTTGAATAAGACCATCAATAAACCTCCTCACCCTCTCTCTCAGTGGGAGGTATGACAAGAGTATGGCGAGCCAGATCAATGAACCTGGTCTCATACTGAGTGACCGTCATGGAACCCTGCTGAAGGCGCTCAAACTGCCTCCGATAAGCCTCTCGCTGAGTCATTGGGAGAAACTTCTCCAGAAACAACACTGTGAACTGCTCCCAAGTCAAAGAAGGCGAATCGACTGGTCTAGCTAAGCAATAATCCCTCCACCAAGTCTTGGCGGATCCAAACAGTTGAAAGGTAGCAAAATCAACTCCATTGGTCTCCACAATACCCATGTTCCGAAGAACCTCGTGGCAGTTGTCCAAATAATCCTGAGGATCCTCGGTGGATGCACTGCTGAAAGTAGTAGTGAAGAGCTTGGTGAACCTATCCAATCTCCATAAAGCATCGGCGGACATAGCTGCCCCATCACCGGCCTGGGCTACCACACTCGGCTGAGCTGCTCCAACTGGCTGAACTGCTGGAGTCTGAATCGGAGGAACTACCTGCTCCGGAGTGCGCGTAGCAGGAGTCTGCGCCCATCCTCCAGCCCGAGAAGTGGCTGGTGCTACTGGAAGCAAACCCGCTCGGGTGACACTCTCCATGAGGCCCACCAATCTGACAAGAGCATTCTGAAGAACTGGGGTAGCAATAAACCCCTCTGGGACCTGAGCTGGGCCCACCAGAACTGTTGGGGCTGGGGCCGGAACCTCCCTATCGAAGTCAACCTGAGGCTCCGCCACTGGTGCTGCTGCTCGGGGCTGAGCCCCGACCCTACCTCGGCCTCTAGCACGGCCTCGCCCTCACCCTCTGCCCCTAGTGGGAGCTGTCTGGGGCTCGGACTGCTGGTCAGAAGATGAGGAAGCGCGTGTTCTCGCCATCTGCGAAAGAATAGATTAGAAATTCAATTAGCATTTGAGGAACAAATTCGCACGACAAGAAAGAACAAATGTGAGATTTTTCCTAACTCGGTAGCCTCTGGGGGATAAATACAAATGTCTCCGTACCGATCCCTCAGACTCTACTAAGTTTGTCCGTGAGTTGTGAGACCTATGTAACCTAGAGCTCTGATACCAACTTGTCACGCCCCGGATTTCCCACCCTCGGGGGTCATGATGGCGCCTACTAATGGGAGCTAGGCAAGCCAAATTTAATTACTTTTCATTAATAACATAATACCTTTTTAACAATTATCGGCAATGATATAAAAGCAACGAAATTAAATAATAAGCGGAAGTCTTAAATTATAGAAAACTGGATAGAAATGCGGAAAATTCAACATAAGCCTCTACCCAAGACTGGTGTCATAATACTCACGAACTACTAAGGATACTAAATACAATCGTCTGAAAGAGAACATAAACTGTTTGTCTCGAATAAAATGAGATGACAGACTAAAATAAAGGATAGAGGAGACGCCGGGTCTGCGGACGCCTACAGGGCTACCTCGATGTCTCGCTGGACTGAAGGCCTGCTCCCGCACTACTGCTGCTGCTGCCCGAAACCTAGATCTGTGCAAAATAGCACAGAGTGTAGCATCAGCACAACCGACCCCATATGCTGGTAAGTGCCTGGCCTAACCTCGGCGAAGTAGTGACGAGGCTAGGACCGGACTACCAATAAAACCTGTGCAGTTATATAATATACAGTGGAAAATAAAACAGGAATAAACAAGTAAAAATGGGAGGGGATAACATGCTGCGGGAGTATACCAGTATTAACAGTAAATCCCGAGTAACAGTCTAGGGGCAGCTTAGAATTTACAGCGAACAAAGAAACTAATATCCAAAATAAACACACTTGTGTCAATAATTGTTGCGGCGTGCAACCCGATCCCAATATATAACAATACTGTTGCGGTGCGCAACCCGATCCATATCATTTAATACTGTTGCGGCGTGCAACCCGATCCACAAATATCATTGTTGCGGCGTGCACCCCGATCCATATCATTTAGCGTTGTTGCGGCGTGCAACCCGATCTACAAATATCCTACAATGCGCGGCTTCACCCTTCGTGCTTTATCATTCTTTCTCACCCAAACAGCAATCACAAATAAGGGACAAGGAAGTAAACAAATAATGATAGAAATCCCGGCAAGGGAATGCAATTAAACAATTAAATCCCGGCAAGGGAACAATATAAATAAGTTGCCATGTCCCGGCAAGGGAGAAAATCAACAAAAAAACAACAAAACGTCCCGGCAAGGGAATAAACCAATAACTCTTTCTCTTTCTTTCACTTTCATCTCATAGTTCACATTATCACTTGAGCCAACGCTCCAAGAATTTAAATATCTCATATACCTTCACAATTTGTATTTCAACTCGAGCCAACGCTCCACGAAGTTCAAAGATCACAATTTCCTTTCACATACTCTTTATAACATATAGAAATCATCAATTAAGTACGGAAGCTGTAACAAAACCAGGATATTTGCAATATAAGGACTCACGGTCATGCTAGACACCAATGTATAGATACTCGTCGCCATGCCTATACATCGTACTCGACAATTAGCAAGTAGCAAATAAGACTCAACTCCTATTCCCTCAAGCTAAGGTTAGACAAACACTTACCTCAACTTCCACGGCCAAATCAATCCACAACAACCGCTTTCCCTCTTGAATTCGGCTCCAACATCAAATCTATACGATAATGACTTCATAATATCAATATGTGCTAAACAAATCAAACCCAATGTCTAATTATAGATTTCCAAGCTTTCTTTCCAAAATCCCAAAATCGCCCCCGGGCCCGCTTGGTCAAAATACGAGGTTCGGACCAAAATCAAATTCCCCATTCACCCACGAGCCCGAATATATAATTTGTTCTCAAATTCGACCCCAAAACGAGGTCTAAATCAAGAAAAAGAAAAAAGCCCTAACTCTACCCATTTCCCCCAATTTCTACCCTAAATTATATGTTTTAGGTTTAGGAATTCAACAAATATTGATGGAAAATAAAGAAAACGAGTTAAGATTTACTCACCCAAGAAGCTTTGATGAATAAATGCTCTAAAAGTCGCCCTAGAACCTTAGAGAAGAAGGAGTTCGTGTGTTTGATGAAAAATTTCCGTCATTGTTCTGTTTTGGACATTTTAAATAACTGGGCAAAATCGCCCTTCGCGTTCGCGTGAAGAAGGTCGCATTCGCGAAGGGTAAACTTGGCAGACCATCGCGTTCGCGATGGGAAGAGTGCGAACGCGAAGAGGAAAGGCTGGGGGGATCCAGGACTTGGTCTACGCGAACACGTGGGTACTGATGCGAACGCGATGAAGGGATTTACAAGGCTACGCGAACGCGAAGGTCTTGGTGCCTACGCGAAGAGGAAAATTATGCTGAGTCCCCCAGGGCCAGATGACTCTATGCAAATGCGAGGCAAATGATGCGAACACGATGAAGGAAAGGTCTGAAGCTTCGCGAACGGGTGAAAGGCTTCGCGAACCGAAGAAGAAGGGACCTGCAACTGCTGAAGCTAAAAACCTGCAATCCTCCTAAGTTCGAAACCAATCCGAAACACCTCCGAAACTCTCCGAGCCCTCGGGGCTCCTAACCAACTACATATACTAACTCAACAACATCCTACAAACTCAACCGTGCGATCAAATCGCCAAAATAACATCAAAAATAATGAATCAAACCTCAAAATCACTAGTTTTCTTCAAAATTCATAAACTTTCAAATTTAGAGTTTTAAGTCCGAAACACGTCAAACGACGTCCGATTTCAACCAAACTTCACAGAAACATCTTAAACCACATATAAGACCTGTACCGGGCGCCGGAACGAGAATACGGGCCCGATACCAACACGTTCTAACCAATTTTCATTTCAATTTTTTTCATAAATTTCAGAAAAACAATTTTACTCAAAAATTCATTAATCGGGCTTGGGACCTCAGAATTCGATTCCGGGCATACGCCCAAGTCCCATATTTTCCTACGGACCCTCCGGGACCGTCAAATCACGAGTCCAGGTCCGTTTACCCAAAATGTTGACCGGAGTCAAATTTTGCTCATTTTAATATCAAATTTTAGCATTTATCTCAAAATTTCATATTTAAGCTTTCCGGCTACGCGCCCGGACTGTGCACGCAAATCGAGGCGACTACAAATGAGGTTTTCAAGGCCTCGGAAGCACGGAATGAGTAAGAAAACAGGTGATGACCCTTTGGGTCGTCACAGTTTCACATTAACCTTGATGTTAACATGACCAATAAGTATATATATATATATATATATATATATATGTAGTATGTATATATGTTCAACCTTGGCGGCTGCTATAAGGTTATATGAAGCAAACTTCAATGAATGTCCAGAGGATGGTGAAAAGATAAAACAGGCTTGAGGCATGATATAATTATTATTTCAAAAGAGTAATTGGCTGCATTTTCGGATAACCAACAATACTTTCTTGGAATTTATAAATTTCATAAAATAAAATATAAACTGACAAGAGTTAGTTTAATAAACACACAACCAATATTAATATAACGCTTGGTTTCACTTTTTGTTTTCATATAAAACGTAGATATTATTTTGTTCAACTGGAATTTTTTTCCATAACTAATACTCTACATAAGTTATGTGAAAACCTATATATGTATTTTATTTTATGGGTGATAGAATGTGAAATAAGAGAGCACATATTGGCTACATGGATTAAAACTAATGCATGCCTTTCGTGTAGTAACAAAACTTAGTTGAAATTATAGGCCATATAATTAATTTTTAATACAACATAACCAAACATCCAACAATAACTAACACCTATAATAGTACAATCCATGTATTGTGATTAGACATTACAATCTATTATGCAATACTAATCTCTACATACTAGCTTTTAAACAAATCATCCTTAAATTGTCATTATTTTGGCTTCTATATATATTACAAGCTACAAATCTAATAATCCCAGATGCTTTCAGGAAGAGGATGGTAATTTGAATAGTCATACACAAACGGATCTGGCACTTCAATGGTAAGAGTTGGTGAGATATTAATTTGGTTTTTGGAGTCATAATTATTTATTATACTTGTGCTCGGAATATCATAAGCATTAGGCACTGGTTGCTGCTGTGCGTCAGTGGGACAGTAAGCCTCAAAAGAGAATCCATTAGCGCCATCAACAACAGCAATTGGTGAAGTGGAAGAGCAAAGCATTTTAAAAGTATCATCATCCAAAAGCTTGATTTTTTGGCCATTTTCAAACGCTGTTTTTACCAGCTCCATAGCATAAGCCTATCAACAGATCATAAAGTAGGGAAAGAAATTAAAAAAAAAGGTCAGATATTACTCCTCTTCACAAATAATACATGCTCATGGAAGCAATTAAACAGTGAAAAGGAAAAAGGAAAAAAGTTAAAAATTAAAACCTTTTGAGTTCCAGAGAGATTATCGATTGTCACAAAGTGACCATCTTGGTAAACTCCAATCACTTCTCCCACATCAGTAAATACCACTGATCTTATATTTTGCTGGGGATTATGGACAGAAGGATACACGTATCTTTTCAAGTCAAGTTTACTCTTTGCCTTATTAACTGCTGCATCCAATTTCTTGGCGTGCATACCCCTGCCAAGGATCTTCTGATATGCAAATGTTTTGAGTATCACTTAACAGTCGACAAATAAAAAAAAAAGTGAAATATTATATAGTTGAAATAGAGAGATTATGTTCTAATATAACCACCATAATGGCCTTAAAACAATGGCAATAGAAAGACAAAAATTAAAAAAAAAAAAAGAAGCAGGAAGTATAAGTTAAAAAGATTAACCTATGACTAAACACAAAAAGAAAAATTAACCTACTAGCAGATAAAACGAAGCAAGTGTAACTTCATATCCGGTTAGAATTATTTCATTGGGTCCAATCCATAGACGGTATAGGGAGCTAAGACATAATTTGCCTCCTCTTCTTTACAATATATGTTTAACTACTTCAGCAACTCCGGTCCAGTTACTTTTACCGTTCACATTAGTTATGGATAGAATCGGCAACGGTACTATCAGGAAATTTTGCGCTTGATGAACCTTCATCAAAAAGAGATATATGGAAAGAGACAGGTTGACCATGTCAAATTTTAATTTATAGTAAGCCTTAAATTAAAATTAAATTTATGGAAAGAGTAGTTAATATCGTGGTTGAAAGGGAATAAATTAGATCTTACACTGAGTAGCTTTTCACGGCTCAAAAAGTATTGAGTTAAGAAGTCCCTGACAGTGTTAATGTTTTCCTTCATCAAACGGGTATGGAAAGGACCGCCTTTGCCAATTGTTTGCATTTTCCATACTTCATCTTCAAGAGTTAGGGGCTTCTTCCTTTTGCTCACTGCAAAATTAAAGCCATAGTTACACATGTAACTAACAATATTTTCTCTATCAAATAGGAATTGTGTCTTTATATGATTAAATCAAATAACCTAGCAGGTTAACATATTGGCATCCAAATTAAATTCAATGAAATAGAATCAGGGGAATATCTTAAAGGAAAAAGAAACCGATTATAATATGATTGAAAAGGAATTAAATACGTACTAGAACGACGATCCTTCACAAAAAATGGCTGTGTGACTGCTTCCATAATTCTTGTTGCATTATATTGATACACAGCTCTTGCACCTAGTCTCAACTCACGTTTTCTCATAGACACTCTCGTATGTTTGAATGAAATATGACTTACAGAAACACTTCCATCTTTCAACGTGACATGAGGATCTCCCCGTATCAGCGATTTGTCACCACCACAACTTGTAAAATCTTTCTCAAGGACAACTATTTCCACCTTTGCTGATGATTCAGGCCCAGAATTGATGATATTCTGACTAAGGGGGTCAATTAAATGTAGATTTAAGGTACTACCTATGGGGATTCCAGTAAAAATTGGACCATTTATGTTGTTTGAAAACTGCAATTTTAAATCTCGTGAATCATACGACTGATCAGAAGGGTTTGAATTTTCTTGTGCATTCCTGAATAAGATGTACAAGTCTCAATATCATACGACGGCAATAAAAATAACAGCAACAAATAACTATGAAATACAAAAAGAGACGCTTATCATTGCCTTGGGCCGATTGAAATCTCTACAGGTCCCGGTTCAACTCCTGCCGCCTGTAGTTGCATAAAGAACTTAGAAATGACTACCGTACAAGTCTTTATGTCAAGAGTTTGATTTCACTATATAGACGGTGTATGTAAAAGAATATTTAAATTATTAGATTTTTTAAAAGATAAATTACAAATAATCGTCCATAAAAATGAAATTGGCAACATAATATTACATGCTATAATAGGTTAAACTACAATACGTTACTGTAAAACATTTTATATTATTAGTGTAGATAAGTTAATTCCTTATATCAAATAATCTAGGGCACAAACCAGCGTCCTAATTAAAAGATCTAAGTAGTCGGTGTATATAAAAGAAGTCATTACCAATTAAACGACCTCTGACCCTAAAAAAGAAAAAGAAAAGAAAAGAGAGATTCCTGGTCAAAGATAACAACAAGTTGCAGTAAAGGGACAACACATTACTTTGACTTTGTGTGGAATTTGCTCTAAATTCTACTTACTTTCTAAATCTCTACTTAATCTCTCCTTTTAGCTTGCTTATTTGTTAGAGGGAAGCGAGAGAAAGATTATAGTATTACTTCTCTCTTAAAAAATGAAATTTAAAGATTCCGAAACTGAATGAAAAATCTTATTAATCTCAATGTAAATTCTCAACATGTCAATACTATCATCTATAAGAGAAATCTGAATCAAAGTACAATATTTTTTCAAAAGAGACAAAACATTGACAAATTTATTTTTGACTGCAGGAAAAGAAAAAAAAAATGTCCCCCAGGAAAACGCTTTGGTTGTCCTTTAATTTCCTGGATCGGAGTCGGACAAACCAGACAATCCATAATTGATAGGACAAACCGATCCAGGAAAGGACAGCGAAAGCTTTTTCCATTTAGTAAAAAATATTACTCCATTTAGTATATACGTTAAAATGTTGATTTTCTGCCTATAAGCTTTTGTTTTTCACATTAATCACAAGGGTTGTTAGGTTCCTAAGATCCTATGCTCTCATCTTGACAACTCAATCAATAACCACCCAACTACAATCTAAGAATCCTAACCCTAAATTAATATATAGTAATATACTAAAAGAAAGAGAAAATACCGTGTGAAAAGGCACCTTAAAAAGTTCAGGAAACTATAAACCCTATTTTTATATCAAACTAATGCACAAATTAATAAAATACAAAAAACTAGCAGGCGTATATATATAAAACAAGGATTTAAGTTCAAAAGTAACATGTACGTAATTATCTACGTAACAAGTAACATATGATTATATAAATTTAAACTCAGTAAAAAAACCATATAATATACTACTCATATAGTTAGTGATGGTACTCACAGCTGGATCAACGCAGAGCCCCCTCATTGACTTTAGTAAACGCACGACTCGCACAGCCATAACAGACCTGTTAAAAGTCCAAAAATGAAGTATAATTAGCAGAGCAAAAATTAAGCAGAAATGGACGAATGAAATAATGATCAGTTTCTAATCTATATAGTTAATCCAGAGAAGACGCGTGCTTCGGACTAAATAATTGACAACGCTATGAGATTTCTGAAAAATAGATAAAAACAAGAAAAATGAAAAGCAAAGTTAATAAGCAAAAAGACCCAGAGAGAAAGAGAGTACATATGAAAGGTCACACACTTTCTTAGTTTGTGGAGTTTTCTCTTCCTATGAAATGAAGCCGAGATAGGAACAGAAAAACTACGAGAATTTTCACCAAGATCCATAGCGCGATGTGTTTTTCTAAAACTGTAGTATGTGTTTTTGTTCTTTTTAAAACTGTACGTAAGAACCCTAAAATTGAGTAGTTTTTGGTAATGTATTTTTACTACCAGTAGTATTGATTAAAGCGAGGCTAGCTATTTATAGCGAGAAATTTTGCTTAATGTGAGTTAAGATACCCAAAATTTTACAAAAATATCGCCATATTGATGAAACCGGTACGTAGATTCGTAAAATATCCAAACTTTACGGAGAAACATCAGTGAAGCTGAAATGCAATTTACAAATCTCCTGTAGAGACTCATTTGAACACCCTCACTTCTATCGTCTTTTTTATCGGATGGTTGGCGAAGGGACCCGTCACCTCTAGCCTATACACTTAAAAATAAGTACTGGCAAAAGAATTAAATAAACGAAGAGAGAGAGGGGGGAACAACAAAAGACATAAAATTAAGTAATTAACTGCTATGACCAAAAGAATATCTACTCTCTTTCTCTCATTTTATATGGCACATATTTTCTTTTTGATTTGTCCAAAAAAGAATGATGGTGTACATTTTTAAAAAAAATTAAATTTAAACTTTTTATATTATGCTTAATGAGAAAATTTATGATCACATAATTATTTATGAATTTATTTTATAATGTGAATTTACAGTCATTTTTTTTCTTCTTAATTAAACTTCATGTAAAGTGAGCCTCTGCAACTGCAATTACGAAGAATTGCTGAAGAACAACAACCAACACAGCTCAAACAACCAGATTCGAGGAAGCCTGAGCAGACATCAAAGGGACAAGAGTCAAACAGCACTTGGTCTGGGCTATTCAACCGAAATCGAGCAGCAACTAACGGTATGTCACTTGATTACATACCACCAGAGTTGATTGATGGAAATTTAATGGTCAAGCTCGATAAGGAAGAAACAAACAGGAAAGCTGATAAGTGGAAGGCTAATGTGATACGGGAAACACCGTGATATAATTATATGAAATGGTATGTGGCTCAAAATTCGAATATGGTAGCTGAACCTGAAGTGTATTATCTGAAGAAGGATATTATATTGCTAAATTTCTGACGAAACGAAGTGCAGTATGCAGGACCATATAGCATAAATAACAAGCCAATGATCTTGAAACAATCATGCCCTGAGTTTGATTTCAATGCTGAATTTCTTATAGAACTACCTCTGTGGGTTAAATTTCCTAGCCTACCTATGAATTTCTGCAGCCGAGATTCATTGAGCAGGATAACTAGTGCAATTGAAGTGCCAAAATACGTGGATGAATGCACAGCAAAGCAAACTAGAGTACCATTTGCCAGGATGCTTATAGAGGTTAATTTCACCAAGCCATTACCAGATGAAGTAACTGTTCTTGATCCATCAGGGAAAATATTTCAACAACCAGTTATATTTGGTGGAAGCCAGACTATTGTGAAGAGTGTTTAATGATAGGACATAATTGTGCAAAGCAGAAACTGACAGATGTAAAGAATGAGGAACAAAGAAACAATAACATTCAAAAGAGGAAGTAATGCCCTAAGAAAATGGTATAAACCTGGGTACCAAAGGTGATAAAAGAGATACAGTTGAAACTAATGAAGAGAAGAAGGGAAATCAGTCTACAACAGCCAATCAACAAGTTCAGAAGCCAACAGAGAAAGTGGAGAGTCCACATCCTAAAGAAAAGCATTTATTAAAAGGGAAGGCAGCTAAAGAAATAAATGGTCGACCTGTGAAGCAGCTGATTGAAGCAACCATTCCACTGAGAAATGAATTTGAGCTCCCGCAATGTCAAGATGATGTGATGACAAAACTCCTACCACTGATATAGGTGGAGGATATTTATATGTCATCAATAATGACATGGTTAGTATGGAACATGGGGTGGGGGGGGGGGGTAAATAAGAGATATAAGCATAAAGAATTAGCTAAGTATCTCAACGAAAATAAAATTAAAGTAGCAGGATTAGCGGAGACAAGGGTGAAGTAACATAGAGCTCAAGAAATCTATAATAAAATTGCCCCAGGATGGGGATTCGAGAATAACTACAGTTATGCACAGAATGGCAGGATTTGGGTGGTTTGGGATGCTAATGCTTACAAGATTGAAGTCTTGAAGAAGGCAACACAGTTTATCCATTGTTTAGTGGTGAGCAGGAATCAACAAATTGAGTGTGAAATGACAATAGTATTTGGTTACAATACAGTGGAGCAGAGGAGAGAGTTATGGTAACAATTGAGCAGTTTGGCCCAAACAATAGCTAAACCATGGATCATATGGGGAGATTTCAACTTTATCTTAAGTCCACAAGATAGATTGAAAGGAGCAGCAGTCACTAGTCATGAGATAAAGGATTTCATAGAATGCATTCAACAATTGATGCTGAACGAATTGACATGGAAAGGAGACTATTATACTTGGACAAATAAGCAACAAAAAGGTGACAGAATATGGAGCAGGATAGATATAGCCTTTGAAAATACTGAATGGATGTTAAAATATGGTCATTTGCTGAACGAGTATAAACTTCCGCATATATCAGATACTGTCCTATGATGATAGCCACAAATGTGAGGGAGCCAAGGATCAAAACAGCCTTCAAGTTCTTTAATGTATGGGCAACTCATGAGGATTTTCATCACCTAGTGGAGGAAAACTTGAAGCAGAGATGTCACTCACACAAGATGAGGAATATCTGGATTAAATAGAAGAAATTAAGGGAGAAGCTGAAAAGACTAAATGAAACTGAATTCAAAGGTGTAGCAGCAAGAATTACTCAAGCAAGAGAGGATCTTCAAGAAATAAAACTCAAGCTAAGGCATCAATACTTAGATGAGTTAGCAATGGAAGAAAAGAAGACTATCTGCCGTCTTGAGAAGTGGTCAAAGATAAAAGAAAGTGCACTGCAACAAAAAGCCAGGGCAAGGTGGATCAAACTTGGAGATGCTAATACAAGTTAATTTTCAGTTGTTATAAAGGATAGAAAACAAAAGAAACAAATATTAGAGTTAGAGTCTCAAGTGGGAGGCAGATTAACAGAAGCAAGGGATATCAAGATAGAGATAATACAGTTTTATAAGCCACTTATGGGAGCAGTTTTGCAGCATGTACAGCAGTTAACAAGATAATCATGAGAAGAGGGAATGCACTGACTCATACTCAACAACTTCAACTTTGTGAAGATGTGACAGAGAAAGAGATTTATTCAGGTCTCCAAAATATAGGAGATGACAAAGCTCCGGGTGTGAATGATATAATGCAGTATTCTATAAAAGAGCCCTGCCAGTCAATAAAGATGAAATCATTGAAGCTGTACAAGAGTTCTTTACAACAAGCAGAATGTATAAAGGAATTAATTGTACAACCGTCACCTGATACCAAAGGTAGTCAATCCTGCTACAATCAAGGAGTATAGGCCAATTGCTTGCTGCTCTATTTTATATAAGATCATAGCAGATGTACTTGCTGGCAGAATTCAGAAGGTGATAGCATCTACTATCACTGAAACTCATTCAGGATTTATCCTAGGAAAGAGGGTAGCAGATAATGTGATAATGGCACATGAGTTGGTGAAGGCCTATACAAGAAAGCATATATCACCTAGATGTATGATTAAGGTTGATATTCAGAAGGCATATGATACAGTGGACTGGAGATTTTTGGAGCAAATGCTGACAGAATTGAATTTCCCTAAAAAATTTATCAGATGGGTGATGGAGTGTATTACTACTGTTAATTACTCTGTAGTTATAAATGGAGAGTAAACACCACCCTTTGATGCTGCCAGAGGACTTTGTCAAGGAGATCCAATGTCTCCTTTCCTATTTTCTATTGTTATGGAGTATTTGAGTAGAAGTCTCAATTCCTTAAAGGAAGAGAAAGAATTCAAGTATCATCCAAACTGCTCCAAGCTAAGGCATCACACATCTGTGCTTTGCAAATGACCTTCTCATGTTTGCTAAGGGAGATAAACTATCGGTGGGGCTTCTACATGAAAAGTTTGATATATTCACAAGGCTTCAGGGTTACAAGTTAATCAATCCAAGAGTGCTATCTACACTGGTGGGTTTCAGAATAAAGCAAGCAGGAAATTCAGCAAGTAATTGGATATAGTCAAGGTAAGCTACCATTCAGGTATTTAGGAATCCCACTAGCTACTAGAAAACTGAAATTGATAGAATGGCAGCCTCTAATAACCAAAATCACAACAAGAATATCATCATGGACAGCCAAGAAGTTATCCTACGCAGGGAGAGTACAATTGGTAAAGTCAGTGTTGTTTGATATTCAATCCTATTGGGCACAACTGTTTATCATACGGTGATGAAAGCCATTGAGGGATACTGCAGAAGCTACATATAGTCAGGAACAAATGAAATTACCAGAAAATCACTAGTAGCTTGGAGTAAGATGTGCATGCCAAAATCAGCAGAGGGATTAAATCTCACCAATCTTAAACTATGGAACAAAGCAACCATAATAAAGACTTGTTGGTATTTGAAGACTAAGAAAGACACTTTATAGATTAAGTGGATTCATGAGTATTACACAAAAGGACAAAACTTTGGACAGTATGACTATCCCTCAACAAGCTAGCTGGATTGTCAAGAAAATACTCAAAGCAAGAGAGGGATTGAGATATGTACAACCAGACAACAAAAGCATGATCAGATGCATCTATTTGAAAATGGTTGGGGTGTTACCTAAAGTTACATGGAAAAACACCATGTGTGGCAATGAAGCAAAACCAAAAGCAGTGTTTATAACATGGCTACAACAACAAGATAGGCTGTGAACTACTACAAGACTGGAAAGTTGGGGGATTCAAGTAGAAAATAGATGTGTCATGCGCAAAGAGGCAGCTGAAACCAGAGATCATTTGTTTGTAGAATGTTCAGCTGGAAGACAGGTTTGGAAGAAACTAGTGCAGTGGCTACAACTCACTTGGGAGGATATGAATACATGGAGTCAGATGCAACAATGGATTGAACATAACACAAAAGGGAAAACTAAGAAGGCAAAGTTAGTGAAGATGGTGTTTACAGAATATGTGTATGCAGTTTGGATGGAAAGGAACAACAGGTTTTTTGTTCATAAGGATAATACCTGTGAATCAATGGCTAGAGAGATTGCATATACTTGTCATGTTCGAGCCAATAGTACTGCTAAGATACTACTCCAAAAGTATAGATTCCCAAGGTAACAATAGATATGATAACAAAGGCTCTTAGGTGGAAGTGAATACTGATAGTATAGATGAGAGAAACAGACTGAGATATAAAGTCTGATTGATTTGTATATATTACTTTAATGAGAGTTTATAATTACCAAAAAAAAACTTCATGTAGAGTCAAAATCATCAGTGATTAATTGTTTATAATAGTTGTCCCAATTTTGGCCTCTCCTTGTTTTTTTTACTTGGGGTGATTTTTATGGAAATACACATACTAAATGGAATATAGTGGAGATTTAGGGGTCGCTTGGTTACCAGCATAGACAAGGATATCCCATATTCATGGGCTGGAATATCAATTGGAATTGTCTATCCCATCTTCTATATGATAAATTTTATTAGTATTCTGTATTCAAAAATAGAAAATCAGAAAGCGTTAGTTTAAGAAAACAAAACCAAAAATTCCAAGCCCACAAGTTTCTTGTGTGTCATTAAGGAATTTAATCCCCTTACAGTTGCCCAAGGTATCGGATTAATTCCTCCCAGGATAGAACGGAATAACTATTCTGTGATAGCGGCACTTCAAATCACAGGATTTCGGCGAACTCAAATGCCGGAGCAAATCACACAAAATGCTTGCGTTTTTATTTTGTAAAACAATGCAGAATGCAGAAGATAGAGTAGAGAGTTTTTCAGATTTCGGTGGTGAAAAATGAGGTTCAGCCTCTCTATTTGTAGCCAACAACGTTGAGTCCTAACAGGATCCATTCGACAGAAATTATTTGAATTTCTATTAAGCAGAATTGCTGGTCGCGAGTTTGGCTGTTGGAAAATAATTCCGCGAATTTAATACTTTTTCGCGGAAAAATATTAGGAAAAGAAATATTAAATGACGGAAATAGAAAATAAATTTGGACCAAAAAATTATCAATCAATCATATCAATTGACCAAATTCAAATCTGAATTCGATCCGAAGCCGAGCCGAGCGGAGCAACGACGATAACGACGCGAGGCTTTCTCTCTTCTCAACTCTCTAAGAGCTAGAATAAGTTCTTCTATATATAAGCATACGAATTTTACTCTTCCTATCAAATGAGGGACAAAGTTCTTTTGTAAGAGGACTAATTCAAAATTTTATTTCCCTCCATTTCTTTTCTCACCATTATTCACATCTCTTTTTATTTTAATTAATAAAACCCAACAATCCCCCACATGAATGGGGAATGGCTATATGAAAAGACATATATGAAAAACTGTGTAATTCGCAAGTAAGGATTAATCGCATCTGGATAAGTAGGTTTCTCTTTGAACTTTTCATAGTGAACATATGTCAGATATACTCGATCAATCGGTAGATTTGATATCTTTGAACCGTTGAACTTTGATGTGTACCTAGATCAGCCATACATCAACACAATCAACCCCTTAACTGTGTTTGGTTCTCATTGTTGTATTCGTTTCAGCCATGAACACTGCCTAGTTTCATAAGTGCGTAGATAAATGGCCTTACAACATCTTGAAGCGACTTACACTTCACACTTACATAGGTGATTCCTAAACTTGTTATCCCGTAGATACACTATTTGACATACCCTTAACAAACTTAGAAACCAGTAAAAAGCCTTAACGCTTTATCCTTGGTACTAAACATTGTTTTCATCATGAGAAGGACCAAAATTTTATTTGACAATGTTGAATCGCTTAGTCTTCTAGGTAAAGTTACCGCCACAGTGACTTGTCATCGGCCATAGTCCTATTCCCTTTGATGACTTCTCAATCGCCTCTCTAGTTAGGCCTTTTGTAAGTAGATCCGATACATTATCTTTTGACTTTACATAGTCAATTGTGATAATTCCACTAGAGAGTAGTTGTCTAACGGTATTATGCCTTCATCGTATGTGACGATATCTCCCATTATACATAACTCTCCCAGCTCTTCCTATTGTCGCTTGACTGTCGCAATGTATGCATATAGGTGCCAAAGGTTTGGGCCAAAATTGAATATCTTCCAATAAATTTCGGAGCCATTCAACTTCTTCACCAGTCTTGTCTAAAGCTATAAACTCAGACTCCATTGTAGAGCGGGCGATGCATGTCTGTTTGGACGACTTATAAGACATTGCTCCTCCACCAATGGTAAAAACGTATCCACTTGTGGATTTTGATTCTGTTGATCGGGTGATCCAATTTGCATCACTATCGTCACGACCCTAAAACCGACCCGGTCGCGATGGCGCCTATCGTGAAACTAGGTCAGCCGACACAATTCCTAAAACAAACCATTATTCTATAAAAGTCATTTTAAGCCATTTATTATCATGAGATCTCATAATAGAAGTCTAAATAACCAGTGCGGAATAAATACACAAGCCCGACATCGGGGTGTCACAAGTCACGAGCATCTACTAAGGTTTGAATACAACGAAGAGTCTGAAAATATACTATAACAGTCTAAGGAGAATAAGAGGGAGAAGAGTAGGGCTGCGAACGTCAGGCATCCACCTTGCTAACTCCGATGAACCCACCACTGAGTAATCAACACCCTCTACCGGGTTCAGAAATACCTGAATCTGCACACAAGGTGCAAGGAGTAGTGTGAATACGCCAACTCAGTAAGTAATAAGAGTAAATAAAGACTGAGCAGTAAGAAAACACATACTCCACGTCATAATACCACAGTAAGTACAGTGTGTTCCCAAAACAGTATATAAATCATGTTGGGCCTACCAATGAACCCCAGATCAACTCTAGTCACCCGCAACAGATAAATAACCCTCCGAAAGTCCACAGTGACTGAATCACAACACATACTACCCTCTGACTAACCTTAGCTACATTTCCACAATCCATAACCACAAAACAATTTACTCAAGAAAACTCTCAGTCTCCGAATCCATAGAACATACGAATCACCATCTCTGGTCTCAACTCCACCGCCGGAATGTCCACACTTCTCTGATTACATGGTCATACGAGGAATACTCCTGAAACAAGTGAGTGGCGCAATACCAATGAAGTATCCATAACTTAACACTTCGCCCCTTTCTAAATATATATTATCATCAAGCCATACCAATTAGTAATATCTTTTACCTAGCCATCTGAAACTGACCATGCTGTCTAAGAATTTATGACCTTCCTTTCAAAACTGAACCGTGACCTTACACATGCAAATATCAAGTCCATGCAACATACCACATAACCCATACCATCCTATGATAAATATGAGAACTTCATAATCCACTCCGAGCTACAAGTAACTACGTACTCAACCAGCCAAGAACTTTTCCATTTGATCCCATCTAGGAGGAAATCACTATACATCCCATGCTCCTCGTGCCAGTAGAAAATGTACACCTCCAACTGTGGTAGAAATCATCAGGAACTCTCCGAATCCCATTTGCACAAAACCAAACCGTCAGGACTGAATCCTTTTAACTCTACCAAGTTGCGTAGGTCACCAAAACCCAAGAACATTGCCATGAAACACCTGCAGAAACTCATTACCTCATAAGCATCCAAAGAACTAATTGTATTCCTTACAAGGCCGATCCGACCTACTACCAAGCTATCCTATTTATCCAAGTTCC